GTTCTCACCAGCAAACGCTCTCAAAACAGCCGGGAGAGTTCAGGAGAGAAAGCAGCTTTAGAAAAGGTTCTATCACGGGTACCGGGATGTGTCTCAAGCAGATCTGAAGCCGTAACTACACCAGCATTGAGAGAAAAGAAAACCTTCTGTCTCAGATGAATTAAACTAAGTAAGCATTACAGTAAAACCTACAAGTGATCTAGGAATGCTTTGTTTTCTCCAAACAGTGTCCCTATTAAAAACTTAGCGGTGTAATACAGTCATTTGCAGCTACATACATCTTGGTTTGTCATTTACAGGTGGTAAAACTACCAAAAAAGGATGAAATGCATTAATCGAACATTGAAGATGGCAGCTACTGAGATTTGCTCAGCTATTTATTGTTAGCTTCTTTTATTTCCTCCATTCACTTGAACTGGTTTTGCTGCTACTTCACTATTGTTTGAATAAACAAAAATGCTTGTTGGTTCATCCAAATGGAATATTTTTGTTCAATCATTTACACGCAGCATTATAATCTGAATGTAAACCAAGTGTTAGCTTGGTCTGGCCATGCTAGCTTAGTTGCCAACTGCTAAATTAGCAGTTCAGTTAGCAGTTGCTCTTTAGCTAAGAATGAAGTGTGTATCGATTTATCACAAATTAGTGTAAAATTAGGTGGATTTAATGTTGCTATGTCACCAAAATCACATCGGAGCCACGAGTGGAAACAAAATTAATATTGAAGTAAATGACAACTGGTCAGATCTGAAACGCTAGTTAGCATTAGCTGGCTTTGTAGTTTTTACTTCTTCACCATCCTTGAGTTAAAATTGCTTTCTGTTTGTGGAGTTAAGAAAACCATTATATATTTTTGTTATGATTATTATACTTTTATTAACAATAATTTGTTGAGTTATTGTTATTTGTGGAACTTCGTTAGCCAAAATTAGTGTTAGCTAAATTTAGCTAAAGCCACGCAGAGCGGGCTAGCTCATTTTGATACTCCCTCACATATGATTTGTAATGTTTTTATTTGTTTTTTTTTTGTTATGTTTTTTACAGAATTTAGGTTAAATACAAGTAGACAGTTATTTTTGTTTAAATCTGTAATTACTGTATTTTTTTGTGCCAAAATTGCTGGTTTTTTATTACTATCGTTTCACTCATGAATGTAGTTATTTTAGTGTCTTATTTAGATGTTCTGATTCTTTCAATTCAAGGCATTTAGGACTTCATCCTTTTCCCATCTTATGAAAATACTGGATCCATCATTAGATTTGCTCTCAGCTCAAAAAACAAAGTAAAACTTAGTAAAAGTATTAATTTAATAGCTACTTCCTAAAGGATGTTCTTGCTTGAGGCCCATACCTCTACACTGGTCTTCATATTGTTTTTTTAATTTCTTATTTAATTGTATTTATTTATTTATTTTTGCAACTGAGTTCTGTGTGTTTGGAGCGATTTACCACCAGTAAAGCTCAGTGTAACCAAAGCTTTTAGCTGTAAATGACTTTGAGAACTGTTACCGGCCAGTGCTTTACTTTCCTTTGGCTTGCCAGTGTGTTTGGCTCACCTTTTAACACAGCTCTCAGAAGATGCAAACGCTCTGTGGGGGGGGGGGCAGCCCAGCTTCCAGGTCTCTGCAGGGAAACGCCTCGAGCCCTGAGCAGCTCCGTGTCTTTCACTTGCTTTCAGCCCGCTGTGAAAAGGGCTACAGCACACACTGATGCAGCTCTCTTAGCTTTGCTTTGATTTGTTTTTCCTCACCGAGCTATGCAGTAACAGTAGGATTATTTATCGTTTGTTTGTGTCCTGTCCTCCTCACCCCAGCAGAACTGCATGGGACCCATGAGTGGAAGCTTTGAGCCTTTTTCTACAGTTTTCCATGTCTGCTTCGAGGGTTTGGGCTGAGTTTAAATATCATTTCAGGCACAGTGTTTCAAATTAGAGTCTAAAGTAACGGCATTTTCTCAAATTTAGGTTCTATTTAACGGGCTGTTGGATAGAAAATTGTTCAGAACTTGTTCTCATCCTTTCCTCACGTGAAGAGAATATGGTATTATCCTTTAAACCCCGTGTTACTCCACTCCTTACTGTAAGCTGCAGTTTCTCAACCTTCATGCCAATTGATCAAAACCTGATGTACATTTAAAAAGACTGTTTTTGAAATCAAAGAAATGTCCTCAGTGGACAAACTAAACTAAACTTTGCTCATTTTATCTGCTGTTGGTTCATTTTTGTACCTGCAAACAGTCCAAACATTTCAAAAGGCCACTGGTATCTATATTTTTTTATTTAATAGTTTTTTATTTTACCTTATTTATTTGTTTTGCTGGAGGCACTGGCTCTGGTTTGGGAGAAAAGCCCGCTGTTCCTTTAGGCTCCTCCTCTTCTCCTGTGGCTGTTTGAAGAAGAAACGTTAAACCGATAAAGAACTCTCATCCTGATCTGACGCAGCGTCCTTTAGTCCGCCAGTCTTCAGTCTCTCAGTAGGTTACAGAATAGAGGATTAAAAGACAAAAACATACCTTGCTACAACAACTATCGGACAAAGAAGGTAAAATCAGATTCACATATCTTATAATCTGAGAAGAAACTCTTTGGAAACGATTTGTAACTTCTTTCCAGAAATAAATGTTCATATTGGTCAACTTTCACCTGCCTGCCTGCTAGTTTTTGTATTCCTGCGCACACTGTACCAGCATTTATCTGTCATTTATTAGAAAATACTTCACTGTTTTATCAATTTTGATAAAAATATTAATAATAGATTGCTGGTCATAAATGTTTTACATGCCAAGGTGTAAAGAGAGAAGTTATTTTTGACAGTTGTTTTAAAGAATTTAACTAAATATTTAATGACCAGAATTGGTAATTTTAAAGCTTCCAAATTGACATTCAAGCATTAGAAAATAGTACTGACCATTTAAAAAAAAATGTTTCTATTGGTTTGTAGAAAAACACTTATTGATTCCTCATTAAGACGATTTTTTTCTAAGTTTATTAAATTAAATAACAGTAACAGCAATT